CTTTCTGCCTCAGACTCCTGAGTGCTATGGTTATGGGTGTACCCAGCGACTCTGAGTTTTGGAAACTTTCTGAGGCTCTCCTTTTAAGCTACCTTGGTCTATAAGTACACCATTTACACGTCTCTATGTATGAACCTGGATATAAATGCAAAGATGTACTCACAGGTCTTAACATCTCTCTGAGCAACAGCTATTGCTTATTTTTGCTCCTCTGTCCTAATACAAGCTACCGGGAACCTCAGGTTTAGCTTTTGAGTCTGCCAGTTTCTGGCAGGGTTCCCAGTAGGTTAATAAGGAGCGGCCCCTTCTGGGGTGTGTCATAGAAGCTACATGAAGTCATTGGCTTCCTGTCACAGAACATGGGAGAGTCACTATGTGGCAGTTCATCTACATCCCGGTACCTTCCCTTGAAAAAGGAAGGTCTCTTTTAGATGGGACTTGGTTATTCCTTTGCAAGGGTACAGTACAGATAAAATTCTTGGTTTCTAGAGCCCTCTATAGACCCTCTGTTCTCAATTTTTCCATGTGTTTGTGACAAATGTTTTTCATACTGGACATGGTGGTGAACATCTGTAATCCCAGCACTGTGGAAGGCTGAGGCAGCAGGATTGCAAGTTCAAGCCAGCCCAAGCAACTTAGCAAAACCCTGTCTCAAAAAATTAAAGGGCTAGAGATGAAGTTTATTGTAGAAGCCCTGGATATAATCCCCAGAAGCACAAAAAGGAAGTTTTTCATTCAGTTTATCACAAAACTTAAACTCTAGCATAATAATATACTATGTCAGCAATCATATGGTAAAGCAACTCTTTGTGTCAAACCTTTTTGTTAGATCTGTGTAAAACAGATTATTTTTATTTTTGCAGTGCTATCCTAGGCAAGGACTCTCCCACTGAACTACACCACTAGCCCATAAGATTTTGTTATCCAATTGTTTGTTTGTTTATTTATTTATTTTACACAGGGTCTCACTATGTAGCTTAGGCTAGTCTTGAATTCACTATGTAGTCCAGGCTGGCCTCAAACTTGTGGCAGTCCTCCTGCCTCAACATCCTGTGTGTTGGGATTACAGGCATGTACCACAATGCTCAACTTTTATTTTTTAGCCGGGGTTGGTTGGTTGAGACAGTCTTGCTGTGTAGTCCAGGCTAGTCCTGAATTCTCTACATAGCTCAGCCTTTTTATTTTTATTTTACTTTTTTGTGGTACTGGGGATTGAATTTAGGACCATGCACTTGCCAGGCAAGCACTTATTCTACTGAGCTATCTCCCCGGCCCTTATTTTTATTTTTGAGATGGGATCTTACTATGTAATCCTGGCTATCCTTGAATTCACTGTGTAGCCCAGGCTGCAACAATCCTCCTGCCTAAGCCTACTGAGAGCTAGGATCACAGTTATGTGTTACCACATTTGGCAAAGATTTTAACTAGCCTTCAGATTCTATGGAAGAGCCAAGCATGGTGACACATGCCTGTAGTCCCAGCACTTGAGACTGAGGCAGCAGGTTTGGTGTGTTTGAGACCAACCGAGGCTACAAAGTGAGCTTAGGATCAGCCTGAACTGTGTGGTAAGACTGTCTCAAAAAGACAAAGCACACACAAAGACAAACAAAAGACAAAAGACAAAACACAGATTCTGTAGAAGAAACTCATGTCTCTCTAGGTTGTAGGTCTCAGTTTACTTTGAGTCTTACTGTACTCACTGCCCTATGATAGGTTCGGGCCCTAGTGTGAATTGCTAAAATCATTAGGGTGGTCATTTAATATGGCTGATGCCCTTAAAACAAAGGCCTATGCTGGGCTGGTGAGATGGCTCAGTGGTCTAAAGCACCTACTTAGAACAAGCTCAGCAAAGCACGAGGGACTGCGGTTCAATCCCCCAGCACCACATGCCAGCCAGCCCCGCCCCCTGGTGGGCTGAGCTGGCCACACACACAAATAAATAAATAAATAAATATTTAAAAAAAAAAACAAAGGCCTATGCTCCCAGGACCACCTCCTCCTTCTTCTCCAACTTAGTCCAGAA